GGTTTCCATCTTGTGGTGAACCCTCTGTATTCACTCTGGTGAAGTCTTCTCTTGATTGGTGACTTTGACACACATACACCTACCTCCTGGAGAGTGTTCTTGATCTGGCCAACTGTTGTGAAGGGTGTTTTCTTCACCAGGGAAAGAATTCTTCGCTCATCCACCACAGTTGTATTCCGTGGTCTTCCGGGTCTTTTGGTGTTGCTGAGCTCACCGGTGCGTTCCTTCTTTTTAAGAATGTTCCAAACAGTTGTTTTGGCCGCCTAATGTTTTTGCTATCTCTCTGATGGGTTTGTTTTGTTTTTTCAGCCTAATGATGGCTTCACTGATAGTGACAGCTCTTTGCATCTCATCTTGAGAGTTGACAGCAACAGATTCCAAATGCAAATAGCACACTTGAAATGAACTCTGGACCTTTTATTTGCTCATTGTAATTGGGATAATGAGGGAATAACACACACCTGGCCATGGAACAGCTGAGAAGCCAATTGTCCCATTACTTTTGGTCCCTTAACAAGTAAGAGGCACATATGCAAACTGTTGTCATTCCTACACCGTTCACCCGATTTGGATGTAAATACCCTCCAATTAAAGCTGACAGTCTGCAGTTAAAGCACATCTTGTTCATTTCATTTCAAATCCATTGTGGTGTATAGAGCCAAAAATGTTAGAATTGTGTCCATGTCCCAATATTTATGGACCTGACTGTACATGCAAACACGTGATTTTGCGCAGCCATGCCACCCTGTAGCAGTACTTCTGCTATCGGGTGGATGGGAAATGGGTGGAGGAAAGTTCAAAACCAAATCTCAGAAAGTTCTATTTTACTGAAAGAGTAGTTGATGCTCAGAATAAACTTCCAGCAGATGTAGTGAGACGGTCAACTGTAAATAGCTTTAAACATGTTTTTGAAAACCACAAAACACAAACACCAAAGAGAGAGAAAAAAAAAAAAAAACAATCAATTAAAAAAAAAAAAAAAAAACCACACACATACACACCACAAAAAAAAAAAAAAAAAAAAAAAAAAAAAAAAAAAAAAAACAAAAAAAAAAAAAAAAAAAAAAAAAAAAAAAAAAAACAGCACCATAACAAAAAAAAAAAAAAAAAAAAAAAAAAAAAAAAAAAGCAGACTGGATGGATCAATCTTTCTGCCGTCACTGTTCTATGTGTCTATCTCCACCATTCTGCTTTATTCCGCTGTGCTGCTACCTGGGATCCTCCAGCACATGACCTGTTGAGGACTGGGAGTAGAAAGGCTCCGGGTAAAGCCGCGGCTCCCATTTTTCCAGGCCGACTTCCATTCATCATGATGGGCGGCACAGAGAGCAAGCAGAGGAAACACCTTGGCGTTCACCATCGCCAGCCCCATCTGTCCTCCTCCCCCGATACGCTGCAGTGACACCGTGTACTGCTCACTGACACATCCAAAGTCTTTAAATCCTCCTCAATAATTCAGAGAACCCGTGTCTGCCTTTCCGCTGACACAAGTTACCATAGGAATGCACACCTGATACCCCGGAGACGGCTACAAACGGCGCTGAGAGTGAACCTCCTGCGGGAGAAGGGAGGGCGACGCGCGCAGATAGACGCAGCAAAGCGCCAAAAAACCATCTGCGCCAAACCACAAGTAAAAGTCAATTACAGCGACCCGACCCAACCACGGCAAAAAAACAGTGACCGACCGGAGCTCAGGGGACTGCGGCCGTCCCAGATAGCAAGGAGACCTCGCCACAAGGTTGTTGCAGTGTTGAATTGCAAGTGGCCGAGTGGTTAGCACTTCCACCTGGCAGTACTCGGGTCGTCTGTTCGAATCCCAACCACGGCACCACCCTGCCTGGAGTTTGCATGTGCTCCCTGTGCCTGCGTGGGTTTCCTTCGGTACTCCAGTTTACTTCCACACTCCAAAAGACATGCCGGTAGGTGAATTGTCCCTAGTATATGTATGAATGTGAGTTAGGGAGCTTAGGATTGTACGCTCCTCGGGGGCGGGGACTGATGTGAATGTACAATATATATGCAAAGCGCTGTGTAAATTGATGGCGCTAAAAATAATGTATCCAAATGAATTGCAATCTTGTCACTCGCATTTAATGCCCAAGGATAGGTTCACCAAAAAAAAATAAAAAAAAATATATATAGATCACACGCTTTCCCAACATGCGCAGAAACCTCACGCCCTTTGGCAGTGATGCCATTGGTAGCCCTGGTTTACGCCAGTAGGTCATGCGATTTGAAAAACTCCTGCGCCTCTTTTCTACGATTTCATCACAACTCTGTTAAACGAAGTTACAAGGCACAATTAAATCAAGCAAGCTCCGATCTATACACAGACAGACAAAAAAAAAAAAAAAACAAATTAGAAAAAAAAAAACACAAACCACAAATACAAGAAAAGCCAAAAAAAAAATAGAAAAAAAAAAAAAAAATTAGAAAAGAAAAAACACAAAATAATACCAAACAACAACAACAAAAAAAACAAAAAAAAAAAAAAAAAATTAGAAAAAAAAAAAAAACACAAAAACACAAAAAAAAAACCAAAAATAAAAAAAAAAAAAAGAAAAAAATTAGAAAAAAAAAAACTAAAAAAAAAAAAAAAAAAACACCCAAAACAAAAACACAAAAATACCAAACAAAAAAAAAAAAAACAAATTAGAAAAAAAAACAAAACAAAACACACATAAAAAAAAAAAAAAAAAAAAATCCAAAAAAAAAAAAAAAAAAAAAAAAAAAAAAATTAAAAAAAAAAAAAAAAAAAAAAAAAAAAAAACAAAAAACAAATAAACACAAAAAAAAAAAAAAAAAAAAAAAAAAAAAAAAAAAAAAAAAAAAAAAAAAAAAAAAAAAAAAAAAACAAACAACAAGCAATAAAAAAAAAAAAAAAAAACACAAATTAGAAAAAAAAAAAAAAAAACCCAAACAAAAACATAATACCAAACAAAAAACACAATTAGGAAAAAAAAAAAAAAAAAAAACACACACACAAACCACAAATAACACAAAAAGAACAAAAAATTTATATATATATATATATATATATATATATATATATATATATATATATATATATATATATATATATAGCATTTTAAGTCATCTTGAACTAGTTCTATTAATATTGCACTTTCAGCACTTTCGTCACGCATGCGTTTATGGAATTTACGACATGCATTTTTTAGCGCTGCACTAATATTTTCAACATTGCGATTCTGGGACTGTTACCTATACAGTGCCAGCTGCTTTTAATTCATTTGGATATATATCATATACTGCATTTAGCACTCGCTCTATTCTGTTTTTTACATACATGGTACATTCATAGTTACATAGTTGGTCTGGCTGAAAAAAGACAAAATCCATCCAGTTCAACCATAGAAAGAAAAGAAAAGAAGAAAAAAAAAAAAAAAGTTATAATCCTACACCCACAGTTGATTCAGAGGAAGGCAAAAAAAAAAAAAAAAAAAAAAAAACAGCAAAAGCACAATCCAATGTGCTCCTGCAGTGGAAATTTCTTCTTGATCCCCCGAGAGGCAATCGGATATTCACATCAGTCCCCGCCCCTGAGGAGCGTACAATCTGAGGTCCCTAACTCACATTCATACATACACATACTAGGGACAATTTAGACAGCAGCCAATTCACCTCCCAGCATGTCTTTGGAGTGTGGGAGGAAACCGGATTACCCAGAGGAAACCCACACAAGCACAGTGGCTGGGATATGAATTAATGACCCGAGTACTGCCGGGCAGAAGTGCTAACTATTTAGCCCCTCAAGGGGCGTACGATCTGAGGTCCCTAACTCACATCCATACATACACTATGGCCCATTTAGACAGGAGCCAATTCACCTCCCAGCATGTCTTTGGAGTGTGGGAGGAAACCGGAGTACCCGGAGGAAACCCGCACAGGGAGAACATACAAAACAGGTGCCTTGGCTGGGATTCGAACCAACAACCTGAGTACTGCCAGGCAGGAGTGCGGCAATGGATCCCTAAATTTGAGGTCAAGAGGGAAATGGAAGGTCTGACCGGCTCTGTAAACGACACACATGAAAAATTTGCTACAATACGGTTTTACTGGATCGAATTTTATTGCACGAATTAATTTTTAAAAGGAAAAAAAAAAAAAAAAAAATTCTTTTTTTTTTCTTTTTCTTTTTAGGAACTGGATAACTATACTGGCTCTGGACAGGTGTATGCTTGTCGCACGCCCCCCCCCCCTATTGTGATGCCCTGCCAGCCCCCCCCCCTTTCCCATGTGGTGCCCTGCCAGCCCCCCCCCCCCCCCCATTGTGAAGCCCTGCCAGCCCCCCCTCCTGCTTTCTCACCCATTTCTCAGACCTCTTTATGTGTCTTTCCACCCCAAGGCAGGTTTCATGGTGGGAGGATATCAGATAGCGGGGTTTGATTTGCTAAAGGCAAACAGACGGCGCACTCTGCAAAGTGCAGTTATTCCGGAGCTCAGTAAATGAGGGGAAGCTCCGCTGACTTCCATCATCCAATCACGTGCAAAAATGCTGTTTTATTCTATTATTCTTGCCTGTTATTGGGTATTCTTTGCACAGTGAAGCTTCCCCTCATTTACTGAGTTCTGGGGCCACTGCACTAGCCGAGTGCACCGTCTATTTTCCTTTAGTAAATCCACCCCTAAGTGTATCCAACTCACGGAGCCCCTTGGTCTGTACTCTGCTTCACGTGCGCCTGCGACGACCGCAAGTCAAGATCGCTATGCGATGCCGAGCCTTGCTGTAATCTCATGTGCCCACCCGTTGATCACAGATGGGCGGTTTTGGTTGTATTGTGTTTCTATCTTCTGATTGGTACAACTTTTTGAAAAACTTTTACAAAGAATGCATTAAAAAAAATAAATAAATAAAACTGCAGAAGTGGCTTGGAGAAGATCGGAAACATCCCCATCATTACAGAAGACGTCCAATGACTGAATACTACTCGCTGCACTGTTAGATCGCAAGTTCCTGTGGGATATGGAGAGTCAGGGTCAGGGGCGGACTGACCATTTGGAAACTCAGGCACTGCCCGAGGGCCCGGGGTCAGTAGGGGGCCCCATGAGATGCCCCTGGTACCTTTTTCATAGGCTTTTTTGAGTTTGGGCAAGGACACAGGGGCCCCATGATCCCCTATTGCCCGGGGGCCCCATGAGTTGTCAGTCCGCCGCTGGTCAGGATATGTATATGTACTTGTGTATCCATCCATCCATGTAACTATTCATTTATGCATCAATGTACCCATCCATCCATCTGTATCTATTCCATCAATGTATCTATTTAGGCATCTCTAGGTCAATCCATCTAACTATGTATCCATCTGTATCTATTCCTCTACTGTATGTATCTATTCTTCTATGTATCTATTCCCCCAACTATGTATCTCCCTGTATTTATTATTCTATGTATCCATCTGTATTTACTCTTCCACCTATGCATCTATTCCTCTATGTATCTATCTGTATCTCTGTGTATTTATTCCTCTATGTATCTATTTTATGTATCCATCTGTATCTATTCTTCTACCTATGTATCTATCCGTATTTATTATTCTATGTATCTATTCCTCTATGTATCTCCCTGTATCTATTCTTCTACCTATATATCCATCTGTATCTATTCTTCTATCCATGTATCTTTCTGTATTTATTCCTCTATGTATCTATTCTATGTATCCATCTGTATCTATACTTCTATGTATCTATTCCTCTATGTATCTCCCTGTATCTATTCTTCTACCTATATATCCATCTGTATCTATTCTTCTATCCATGTATCTTTCTGTATTTATTCCTCTATGTATCTCCCTGTATTTATTCTTCTACCTATATATCCATCTGTATCTATTATTCTATGTATCTGTATCTATTCTTCCACCTATGTATCTATTCTTCCACCTATGTATCTATTCTTCCACCTATGTATCTGTATCTATTCTTCTTCTATGCATCTATTCTTCCATCTATGATTCTATCTGTATCTATTCTTCTATCCATATCTATTCCTCTAACTATGTATCCATCTGTATCTATTCCTTTATGTATCTATTCTTTCACCTATGTATATATATATTCTTCTAACTATGTATCTCCCTGTATTTATTCTCTACTTATGTATCCATCTGTATCTATTCTTCTATGTATCTATCTGAATTTATTCCTTGATGTATCTATTCTTCTACCAAGGTATCCATCTGTATTTATTCCACTATGTATCTATGTATGTATATTCCATTAACTATGTATCTATTTGTATCCATTCTTCTATGCATCTAATCTTCTACCTATGTATCCATCTGCATCTACTCTTCTATGTATCTATTCCTCCAACTATGCATCTATCTGTATCTATTCTATGTATATCCTTTCCTCTATGTATATTCATTCTTCTACCTATGTATCCATCTGGATCTATTCTTCTATGTATCTATTTTTCCACCTATATATTTTTATCTATTCCATATCTATCCACCAATAGAAATGTGCTCAGACTAGAATCGGCCCTTGGTTCTACTTGTTTCCATCACACGGCCAAAATGCGCAACAGAATGATGGGAAGATGACAGGATTTACAACAATCGCGATATTTCTAACCGCACAAGACAAATCTTTACACACCACCAACATACTGTCATACCGCCATACTGTCTCTACGGTCACCGTGTATATGATATGTTGGTACTTTTTTTTTTTTAAACAAAAAAAATTTAAAATTGAATAAAAGTCCCAATTGGCAAAAAAATTAAATTTCACAATGGGCGACTGTAGCACTCAATTAACCCATAACTGAATGAACTTCACACAGACCGAATCCTATCTAATATATTCTATTACCAAATGAGAAGAGGATGCTCAGACTAGAGGAGCAGAGGTGATGAGGCAATTGAAGAGAAGTGGATTCATCATCCTTAGGATAAAATGGGCCTGTATTCAAACTAAAAACAAGAAACAAAACAAAAAAGAAAAAAGACAAATTTATAAAAAAAAAAACAAAAAAAATTAAAAAGAAAAAAAACAAAAATTAAACCAAAAAAATTACCCAGTTTTAAAAAAAAACAAAAAAAAAAACAAATAATTAAAAAAAAAACAAAAAAAACTAATGAACTGTTTGGGGTTTTGGTACTTCACTAAATCCAGTCCAGAAACATTCTGCATTTCCTCGGATAATATTCGTCAGGTTTTCTCTCACAGACCGGAAGCTTTCTTAATGCATACACACAGGCAGAGAATATAGAAGAAAAATCAATGCACGGTATATGAAGATGAGTATATATAGCAGCTGATGGATGGTTTGTCTGTAATCCCCCAGCAGGCAGAGGCAGACGCTCACTTTATACAATCATTTATATCAGCAGCAGGTGAGAACAGACAGACATGTCACTTGTACAATGTATAATCTGCAAGACAGGTGATCTGTTACAACATATATATGAGGTTATAAAAGACATAAAAAGCAGCCTTCCCCCAGGACAGACCTTGTTTTCACCAATAAAAAAAAAAAAAAAAAAAAAATGTACTACCAAGTTTCAGTGATTAAACTTACAATGTATTATAAAATCCACTGAGTGCCGCCATTTTGAATAGTTTAATGCAGAATCCAGGCGCAATGCGTCGTTTCGAGTTCCTGACATGTAAGGTCCAGAGTCAAATACACAAAAAGGGGCAAAACTGATCATTTTCCACTGCTAGGTACTCACCAATGAACATGTAACGTAGAGTTGATTGCTACATTGTTTCACCGCGTCCAGCAGCTTTACACAAAAATATTCACAGCATAGAGGAAAATGTTAATGTGCTATAAGAAGTGTTTTCTGTGGCGTAGGGATTTCTTTTCTCATCCTGTGAGAATGAACGCCGACTTTGTACAGTGCTACAGTGATAAAAAAAAGGTAAAGAAGTGGCAGACAGTAGCTCGCTAACCCCATGTAGCATTCATTGACCTCTCATCAACACCTGCTACAGAAACACTTTTCGGAGAATGAGGCTGGAGCAGAGGACGTCCTGTGAATATTGTTCTGATTAGTGAGAGTTTTCTCTGAATGAGATTCACTAAAACTTAGAAAATCAGACAAAGTCGTCTCTGCTTGGCAGCAGCTGGCCTGATAAAAGCAATCTAATTAAAGTCGGTGGAACAATCACAAGCGGAGTGCGGTACAATATACAGACACGAGGCCGGCCCCACATTGGATGAGCCTCAGGAATACAAAAAGGTGAAAAATATTCACAACAGAAATGGCAAAATCCCAGAGTGTGCAGGAAGGGGCAGAGAGTCGAACAATCCCAGGACACCATACATTGTATATTATACACACACCATAGAATATATACATTGTATCGTACGCCGTGTGCATCTGTGCGACATACATTGTATATTATACACACACCATAGAATATATACATTGTATCCTACTCCGTGTGCATCTGTGCGACATACATTGTATATTATACACACACCATAGAATATATACATTGTATCCTACGCCATGTGTGTGATATACATTGTATCGTACGCTGTGTGCGTATGTGCGACATACATTGTATATTATACACACACCATAGAATATATACATTGTATCCTACGCTGTGTGTGCGCGATATACATTGTATCCTACGCTGTGTATGCGCGACATACATTGTATCCTACGCCGTGTGGTGTATGCGCGACATACATTGTATCCTACGCCGTGTGTGTATGTGCGACATACATTGTATCCTACGCCGTGTGTGTATGTGCGACATACATTGTATCCTACGCCGTGTGTGTATGTGCGACATACAACACACTCTGCCTACAATACAATGTATATCATATATACACACTACAAAAACACACAGATAATATATTACACCAACACGGGGAGAGAGAGAGCGCAACAGCACAGGACACCAGATACAACAGGTTTCCAGCTATGGTATACATAATATATTGTGCCCAGTATATATCACGTGTCCAGCTGAGATGTATAGAATATTAGGTCAGTAGAACACCTGTGCCCAGCTGCAGTGTGTGTATATATATATATATATATATATATATATATATATATATATATATATATATATATATATATATATATATATATATATATATATATATATATATATACACACACACACACACACACACACACACACACATATACACACACACACACTATATATTTATTAATATAGTGTGCCCAGTATATAAAAAGGCGTGTGTGTGTGTGTGTGTGTGTGTGTGTGTATATATATAAAAATAAAATATATATTTTTTTTAATCTTATAATAAATAATAAGTGCCTAATATATAAAAGATGTTCAGCTGTGTATGTACAGTATAGTGTGTTTAGTGTATACAGGTGCCTGCCTGTGGTATGTATAATATAATGTACACTGTATATAACAGACACCCAGCTGTGAGATATACTGTATAATATATTGTGCTCAGTATAACAGGTGTCCTGCTTTGGTATACATAATAGGTACCCAGCTGAAATATACATATAATATGCGGTGCCCAGTATATAACAGGTGCTCACTTGTGCTATATATAATATAGTATGGCCAGAATATAACAAGTGCCCAGCTGTGGTATATAATATAGTGTGCCCATTATATAACAGGTGTTCACTTGTGGTATATATAATATATTATGGCCAGGAGAGAACAGGTGCCCTGCTGTGAAATAGAATACAGGGTGTCCAGTATATAAATGTGCCCAGTTGTGGTATATAATATGGCCCATACATAACTGGGGTCCAGCTGTAAAATATATATATTTCAGGTGCCCAGCTGTGATATACATTAGAAGTTGCAGTGTATCATAGGTGCCCAACTAAATATAGATATATTTATATTTTGTGGCTGATATATGACCGGTGCATATTAATATATATACTAATAAGTGTATGAGATATATATATATATATATATATATATACATACACACACACACATATATCTCTACACACACATAATATAGTGTAGCCCAACATATAGCAGGTGCCCGGATGTGACATACATTAGTGTTCCCAGCATATAACGGGTGCCTAATTGAGGTATATATATATAATATTACATGTTATCATATGCACAGTATATAACAACAGGTGCTCATTTGTGGTATATATAATATAGAGTGCCCAGTATACAGCAGGTGCCTAGGTGAGGTATATAATATGTTAATATGTGCCTGATGTATAACAGGTGCTCACTTCTGAGATAGAGATAATTTTATATATACACACACACATATATATATACACACACACACATACACATATATATATATA